TGACCTGGGCATTCCCTGTGCGCAAACTCTGCTCAGGGGCGAGAGGCAGGCGAGCTGACCACCCCTGCGTAGTGCCCACCGCTTGGCAGTATTTTTAAATTCCCTGGTGTCCTGGGGAGTTTTATTCTTCCCTGTGGCTGGTTTCCATGGCCCCTGAATATGTTCCAACTGTTTTATGTGCATTGGATCTCTCAAAAGAATATCTCCTTTGCACATGCTCCTCTTTTTGTCGAGATAAACTAGGGAAATGCTACAGCAGTCTGGACTTGGACTAGAATTCATCCAGGGGTATCACTCTTTGATAGTAAGTCTCTTTTTCTTCTTTTCTTTGTTTTTTTTGTTTGTTTTTAAGAGAAAAGCAGATTGAATTTTATGTATTTGAACGTGAGGGTTCGTTCTTTGCTGATATTCTCTGACCAGGTCTGTGGTCATACACATTCTGTAGCTAAATTTGGGAAAACCTTTTGCCTCTAAAAACGCCTTTTCAGACAGCTCCCGTGCTTCTCTGCAGGCAAAGTGCTTCCTTGCCAACATCTGGCTTTTAAAACCTAAACTCAAAAGATGCAAATATTACCAAAGTTGAAGTCAATAAAAAAAATAAACAATGTGATTTTTTTTTTTTCTGAATTTTTCCATCTCTGTCTGCAAACTCTGCTCCTATTTTCTAACCTTTCCAGCTCTTCTGCGGGGCTTTTGGGCAGGTGGATAAGAATAGAGATGCTGGGTAGCAACCCATCAAACACTGAAGCCAGAGGCAGGAGGGCTCCTGCCCAACTCACTGGTGGTTTAGTTTAGGCAGCTCCTAAATGTTAAGCATGAACTTAAGGGAAAAAAGGATACCTTGTTCCCAAAGAGGAACATTTTAGCATTTATAAGCAATATACTGTCTATTGCCTTCTATAGAAGAAAGGCAGTGCTAATCTTTCTCATAGTCCACAATACAGATTTATAAACCACTAAGACTTGCTGGAGGTTTATTTAATTTTCTATTTTTACTTTAAGAAAAAAAAAATGTACCTCTTGATACAAGCAACAAAAATTCAGTTGTAAAAACTTTGAAAAGCGAAAACTCCCAAGAAGGACTCTGTAACTGACTTTTTTCCAAATAAAATTGACTAGTGACATCTCTGTTTGGACAGAAGAATGGGTCTGCTGTTTGGGGGGGGCCGCAC